TAAGATGCGAAATGTAGATAACTCATTATTAGTGTATTTTAACTTCAGCCTGACATTACGAATGTCTGCAACAGCCATCTTGCAAAGACTGATCCCGGTGGAGATCGAACTCATGTCCTGTTAATTATTAGACAAACGTTACTTCCATTAGATTAATAAACCCGTCAAATTCTATTTTTAATTACAAAACGAATTGTGGAAAGTATAACAAAAAAATAATATTAAAGCCACGTAAAAGGTTCGTTAAGGAATCGTGACGTGGAAAGTTTCACAATAAAGTTGTGAATTGAAACCGATTTTCAACACCTGGCTATAAGTGATTAAAAACGAGATTAATATTATCATTAGCAATTAATTGGTTGGATTAAATAACATAACTGGATCCTCCGGCATGATGGAGTTTAAGAGGTAGATATGTAATAATTTATTTTTAGATCACATTTATGAGTAACTAGCGTTTGTAATGGCTGTTCTTGTATATTAAAAAAGGTATTTGCTATTTTGCTATGTTCATTTTGAATTTATAATTTTCTGAAACACGGGAGGAATATCCATAATTCCAGGTCACGGTGGGTCCGTCCGGGTGAAAAACAGCAAAACAGATGAAAAAGTCGTGATCGTGTTTGGTTTCAAACTTTTGAATCAAAAATACAGTATTATTATATAAATCACAACACAAAACTAGATATAGTCAACGTATACAGGGTCGTATAATTTAGGTCTTTGTGGGGACGCTCGTAAATCACCAAGTTCTTTTGACAGTAGTAGCGTCACGAATAAATAGATTCATGTCCGCGCTTTCCTTTATATCAAACTATTTCCTGTTTCTCAATAGAATCGTTAGGAAGCACATATCGATAGGAACGAAGCGTATTTTTCTATGCTTTAGCACAATGTTGGACTAAGTATAATTAGATGGCATACTACATAATGTTGTCAATATAACCAGCTAGCAAAAAAGTTACTTTGCTTTTTTAGCTAATCTCTTTAAAACAAAATAATATAAAGTTTAAAAATCGAAAATAAATTGAAAAATCTTCGACTCGGGCAGGACTTGAAGCGGCGTTCCGTGCTGTTGCTCTACCAATTGACCTACAGAGTCCTACTATATAATTTAAAAATCGAAAATAAATCCATCTCAATTGGTGATTTTGAATTTTAACGTTGTTTGGTCCATATATAAGAAATATTAATTCAACCTTGTGTCACCTGTGGCAACGACTACACTCTATAAAAGGATTTCCTTAGTTCTCTATGGTTTGAAATCGGCCATATTGGTTGTGGTCTTTCGCCAAGTGCGAAAAAATACACTATAAATATCTTAGGAAACACACTGAGCATGGTACACGTAAATAATGTACGTGAGTTTTATCAAACCGAGAAGCGATTCCGTCAGAAATGTATTGCAGTTGAAAACATTTTCTAAGTGTTGAAACTCGGAAAGTGTAAACTGTGTCGGAGACACGCGGAGTGCCATTTCGCGGGTAGTTGTTTGCTCTTGCGGCTCTGGGTAATATAAACAAAACGCATTGGAAGCTCTCACGGTGCTATTGAGCTGAATCGAATATTTAACGTGGGGCGATTTCAAAAACATTGTTAGGCACCGGTCTCATATAAAGAGGTAACATCTTAACAAGATGCACTGTCAAATACTGTCTATAGTTTACGCGAGTAGTACACATTTAAATAAAACACCTTAACGGCTTAAAACGGTCAGTCTCCCCGTGACCACGGCTGCTGCAAAGCATCCGAAACGTCGGGCCGAAGTTAAAAACCATTGTCAAATAAGTTTAACTAATATATCGCGTTTTAAACCGTTAAAGTGTTTTATTTCAAAGATGCACTGTCAATTTATTTTGGTTTTGGAAATTCGGAAGTTCGCAGAGTGAAACTGATACGCGATTAATCTTCCTGTTTTTTTTTATCTGCGGACGGTGTTTTGGGAGCTGGACGGAATTACGATTTTCCTACCACACGTTTAATATTTAGAATTCCAAACAAGTCCAACATGTTTTAGAAAAAAAAAGATTAGAAACATGTTAGTCCTTGTGTCAATCGAATACCTGTTTCGTTGGTTATCAGCTATATATTCTACCATTACACCAATGAGCTTGTTCATCGCGTAATTCATTTGTTTCAGTATTAATATGTGTCTAAAAGTGAGCTTTGTTTTAAAATCCTTAACTAATAATTGCCAGTGCCTGATAATTCCAAAGATAGCGAAAACTGGATTTTATGTGGCCAGTACTAATAACGAAATTCCGCTCACAGATGCCGTGAAATTTAAAACCGCGCTTCGGTTTCAGTTTTACGTGTACCTACGCTTCTTAATTTTCACGTTATCCAATAAGACCGGGACATTTTACTTTTTCTCAAGTGATATTTATCGGTCAGTGTTTGTACTTATAGAGAACATCGTACTTGTTAAAAAGTCTAATCACGTACTGTCTGTAGTTTACGGGAGTATTTAAATAAAAATTATTTTTTATTTAAATACTTTATTTATTCGGATACTTTGCACCGCCGGCTTTTGTTAATATATTTCGCATTTTAAACCGTTAAAATTGTTTTATTTAAACTTAACTACGTGTTAACCTGTGGTTGAAAATGTATACTGTGTATCTATATACGACAAAGTATACTAATTTGAATAAGTAGAGCCATACTAAAAATACATTGTAAATAAGACAACCGATACATTTTTAAACCGTGGGAAGTGTTTTGTTTAAATGCTTGCGTAAACTACAGATAATACTTTAATGTATAGATTTTAACAGCACTTTTATTTAATAATGCGGTGTATAGCCATAAGCTATAAACGTTTCTCATCGATTATAGGAGACCGCAGCCTTACGTGGAAGCGATCTGAAAAACATTGTTACTCAAATATGGAACCGTGCCGGATTCAGGTGAAATATTTCAATTTCACAATCCCCTTTTCCATATCCGTCCAATGCTCGAATTTGTTTATCTTTATCAACGTGAAAAAAAGATCGCGTACACATCTATGCCTAGCAATATGTATACTATAAAATAAAACATATTTAATGTTGGCATGTACGGCCTGGGGCGAAAAACAGACAAAGAACATATTTCTTTGTCTGTTTTAGTGATAGTCTTTTTTAAAGCAAATTATTGATCAAACTTCTGTGCCCAGCTCGACCAAAACAATTTAATATTTGCCGGGATTCAGACCCTGGACATTTGCGCTATATGTTATCCTAGGAAAGACGTCTAACCATTTAGTTACGAAGGCGGTCAAATGTGTAATTATAAGTACATATTTATTATTGATGTAAAGTATAATGTAACTATTTTTTTTTATACTACGAAATATGTAAGTACTCTCGCCTCCGTGGCTAAGCTAAAGGTTTTGTGTTTAGTGAGCGAGGTCCCCGGTTCGATTAACGAGGATACAATTAAAAGTGTCCGTCGGGTAACGTACAGAAGTCTGATCAACTACATGCCTGTAAATAAAGCTGATTATCGAAACACACAACACACAAGACATAAGAAAATGTCTGTCTCAAGGAAAGAAACCGGAAACTTAGACGATAACATTAGTTTCAAATGTTCCTTTTGATGCTATAATAGTATAAGATATTTAAATAATAAACCAAGCCAATGTTAATATCACCTACGAAAAGTGAGTCGGATAACTTCCGATATTTCATTCCATGCAAATAACTGGAGAAGTATATAAGAGTATGAAGTAATAAAAGTTGACCTCCCGCAGATGTGGCCACCTCTAATACTCCCAGGAAATGATGAACGGAACCAGCAAGTAAAAGGCATTAAATCTGTCTGGAGTTTTCGATTTGCATTGGGAAAATTGCATTTTCAAACTGGCGGCGACAAGGAGGCGACGTCTGCAAATGTTTGCGAGTACTTTCCAAAGCTTGGTGTGCTTAAGAAACACCTTTATCTTACAGTAGCTGTAACGTTATTTCGTCATATGAATTATTTGGATCAAATATTTAATTACCATAGACACAGTCCTCGTGAGATAGTCTTAAAAAATAGACATGTGTTATTACTGTTTTTTTTTAGATCATTTAAAGAAATACTGTCTGTCCTTTACGCGAGTAGTACACGTTTAGAACGCCACATATTTTAATTAAACTTGTTTGAAAATTATTTTTAACTCGGCTCGACGTTTCGGATGTTTTGCAGCAGTTGTGAAAAGAATTTTCAAACAAGTTTAACTAAAATATATCGCGTTTTAAACCGTTGAAGTGATTCATTTGAAGAGGAATACCTTTTTCATACATATTTTTTTGGTATCTCGAACCGTTTTTACAGCGCACGCAACAAACACCCTTAAAGATTTTTCCCACCTTTCTTCACTGTTCCTACGCTTTTATTAGTTACAGTATGTTTTAAAGCCTTCCTCGATAAATCCTAACGTTATCAACGTAACCTAACATAGTAACATAGGTTGGCAGATCATTTAATAATTAAAACTTTTTCTTATCTCCAAATTCTTTGAATTCCTTTTCGCATTTTTAATCATCTTGTTTTATGTCTGCAATAAAGTATATTTTAATTAGTAATTTACAAAGCTTTTTGTAATTAAAGGTTTTTCATTCGTTTTCTATACACAAGTACCAGGACTTGAAACGCGAAATGCATTAGTTAACTTATTTGCGATTTATTTTAACTACGGCCCGACGTTTTTAGATGCTCTACAGCAGCCGTGTTCGCGGAGGGACCGTTAAAAGTGTTATTTAAATGTGTATGTACTACTCGTGTAAACTAAAGATAGGTAATACTTACTACAATAAAGTAACAGAGCCAAAGAGGTCGTGAAAACAGAAAAAAAGGTTGCTTAAAATGACACACTGGCCGATTATAAATGCTTTATTCAAAATAATAAAAGAAGAAAGTAATTCATTTGGAGGTGACAAAATTTGCAGTTGTTGAAAAATTACAAAAACATAAATCTCGGCTGTATTATGAAAAATTATTAGTGGAAAAAAACGGAAACAATAAAATTAAAAATGTCATGCAGCTATGATGAATGTGGGGATTACCAAGTGACACCCGTGCTTATGGCTCCTTGCGATTCGGGACCGTGTTGCGACGCCCCGGCCGTTTGTTATCCATGTTTACCTCGTTGTCCCAAAGGCCAAGTCGTATATTGCTGCGAAAAGAAGCCACGCGGCCGTTTGCCATGCACTGACGATGACTGCTGCGAACAGCCAAAACAGTCGACTAGACCACAAGACCACAGACGAGATTGCTCTCCGCACCAATGCTGTCCGGCCTGCAAGCATCCATCCTGTAAACCAGTCAAAACGAAATACGTTATACCGTGTTATCGCTACGAGGACGGTCGTATAGTAAGTACTTACATAATATTACACGCCCACAAAACTCTTTTTGGATGCGCTCCAAGCATCTCAAATGCGGTTTACATTTGAACCATACAAAGAGCACATTCCGACCGACTTCAACATTCCCTTTTTTCCTGAAACCAACACACACGTACTAAGCTCATTTCGTTGTTGGTTTCAGGAACAATACATGCCAACTAGACACGGTAGGCTCCCAGCATCCGCATACCGTCGAAACGGAATGCAGGATCAGGTATACGGCTACCGAGGTGCCGTCAGGTACCTTTGCGCGGGGGGTGAGCACCCCTACAGACCTTGCGTTTACACCGCAGTAGATCCCATCCGTAAAATATATCCCAGAATCACTCAAGAGGTGTTGCCGGTGAAAAGGAAGAAAGATAAGAAATAGAGCACTCGGAAGGTTATAGGTTTTGTCATTTTGTCACGCACCAAAATCACCCGACAGGTAAACCCAATGCCCTCGTCCGCGCTGAAGCGGAACGGTCTTCAGGATCAAAAGTTTATCGAAAGTGGTGGGATTGCTTATATAAGGAAATGTTGGCGCAATGCGCAGTGGAGTGACTATCCGTTTGCTTTTGCCGTGAAAGCCGCGAAGAAACTGCCCGTCAGAGTCTCTAAGAAGTGACGAACTCGGGTGCGTTAATTAATCAATTTTGTCGCTTGCAACCGCGGTATGGCAGTGAGAAATGATTTGACGAAGCTTCTCTGAATATCTTGCCACTAGCTAACAATACGTGACCCGTTTGTTTGTCTAGAGTTGGACCTGACTGTTATCTTTAAATGGCCACTGTCGGTTGCAGGTGCAAAAGCTACCCATATCTGCTTTCAAGAGGAACGGGATGCAAGATCAGGAGCACTCGAAACTTTTGGGAACAACTAACTTTCTTAAGAGATGTCCCCGCGATGTAACTATAGAATGCGACGTTTGTACGCGACCGGTGGAAATAAACGACCCCGTTAAAGTTCCTCCGATGCAGAAATCTGAATTATGCTGTAGGGTATTCAAAAAGAAACCAATTGAAGTTTCGCTTGAAGATATTTTGGACGATGATTAAGTTTCTCACAAGGCGTTTAGGTAATAATGCATCTGCTAGATGTAATAGTGAAGTATAAAAAATCTGAAAATGTATGTTAATAAAAACCATGCTGTAAACGAGAAATGAGAAATCGAAGTAACTTTTTTCTCTTAGGCATAAGTAGCGAACACAAAACGTAAATAATATAACATAATTAGGTACTAACTCATAGAAAAGTTTGGTTTATATAAAACACTTACACTATACACTCTATTTGCAAATCTCGACAATACACACTTAAACATTTATTATAATAAAAACGCAGGCAAGACTTATTTTTAGATTTTAAAAACTGACTAATAAATAACACACGACCAACAGCATAAAATATTTTTGCTTTTAAAATAATGTATGTGCGTGTAAATTTTCGTGTGTGTGTGTGTGTGTGATTATTATTCTCTTTTAATCACTTCATGGTTTGCAGGATGTAAACGTTTCTCATAAATAACAGTCGTCGCTATATGCACGTCTGGTTTTGAATGCATTAATGGTACGATTGTAAGCAACACTTTACGCTAAACTGCGCTGGTACATTGATATATTACGACCATCCCATACGCGACACTAAGCTACGACGGTCGAGGCTTTCTGTTACAAGCAATAATTATGAAAGCAATGCAAAATGCTTTGCACAAATTATATTGCGCTGTTCTTGGAAACGAACTAAGCTCTTTAAGTTATTGGAGATTATTATTTCGCAAAATTAAAACGCACTAATGTGAGCATACATTATTTGTTTACGATGTTTATCTATGCAAAGGTTATTTCTTTTTCTATAGATGTTTATGGCAAGTTTATATTTATTTTAGGTCGTTTTTTAACAGCGAGGATATCGACTAAAGTTACAATGTGGATAGGATAGAGGATCTGTATGGGCTGGATCAATCTTAGGCTAAGTCGGCCCATACAAACCAAGTTTTTATTTATAAATTATTGGAGATAAAATTGTTGTGTTTATAAGATGTTATAAGCTAATATTAAATAACGATCTAGAAGATCAATCAACTTTGAATGATAACCTTTATTTTTATACATGACTTATGGAGTATTGTATAGACTGAACGCACCTTAAAGTACTAAATAAATTGCTAATTTGGCAGTTATCAATCCCACTATATTAATATCCTTAAAGCTTGTGAAGATTTATATTAGATGAAAGAGTTAAAACAGTTCAAAATTTGAAATTCACATTCACTTATTTTTAATTATAATCTTGATGTTTCCATGCTTTGTTATCTTTGATTTATAAAAAAAGACTTATAGGTACAGCTAGAAAACTACCGACCTAATTAAATGACTTGACTTCTATATATTTCCCGTTTATAACCTCACGTAGGCCACCGACAAAACTTAGCTTCTCTCTGTTTGTTTCAGGTAAATCAGCCCACAGTACTAACTCGTCGAGCCTGCGAAGTGGCGGTGGGTTGCAGGCCTAGACGAAAGCCTTTTATTGCACACTCGTACTGTGTAGACTCGGAGCAGGAGATACATCGTTACGTGTCAGAGGATGACCGGGTATCGTGTTAGTTAATTTACCTATTATAAATGCGCCCACATTTAAACTTAGAGAGGAGGCTGGGCTATGTATCGGGAAATAAATGAAACATGTGTAAACATGTGTAAAAACGACGAGGTGAGGTATGACCGTATCAATGCAGGAAAATTATGGCTTTCCCCTTCATATTTATACGCGTAAAAACACAGCTGTGGGGGACATTTCTTTTTTTGATCTAACGATTAGTTCACATTTAAACTTGTTGAATTACCTAATACATTTTGCGGTGTATAAATGAAAAATCTCTTAAGATCGGAAAAAACACACTGACAGATTTTGAACCGGCACCCACAGAATTTCGTGCTGTTTTAATTAATTGAATTACCGTGTCTCACATTCTCATGTCCATTGTCGAATGTCATCAACCTATTTATATGCACCTCTTCACGCATTGTTTGGATTTAAAAAGATTCTTACTTATATAATATCATTTTTTTAATAATATGTACAAAAAAAACTACAGTTTTCAAATGTTTCGCTTTTAAAACCGTGTCTTCATATTATTTTATTACGAAACATAATTTTTGTATATAACTCTGATTGTTCGTCCATTGTTATTTTCCGTATTGCGAATTGTATAGGTAGCTTTTTATAGGAGATTAATATTCCACCAAAGGCTCGCACCTGAATCAATTCCCACGCAATATCCTTTGACGGGGCTGAAGCAAAAAGCCGAATAAACGCTGTCGGCGACGCTTACGTTGAGGTGAAATTCAATTTCATTACAACTCACTCCGAGCCGGTAAAAATGAAACCGTTAATGTCGGCTATAGATGAAATTGTACACGCGCTAGGATGTACTTAAGCGCTTTCAAGTCATTGAGAAAATTGTAATTATGTGTTCATACACTGGAATAACACAACCGGTCAACAGAAATGAAAGTAACTTTTACAGCCTAATGTACCGTGTATCCATATTCTACTCTCCTGCGAAAAATACTGAGCCGATAAATTGAATTTTTTTTTGACTCGGGTACGACTTGAACCGGCATCGTTTTTAAATTATAAAGTTTTCAAACGTTATAACTTTGGAATTTCATCTTCAATGATTTCTTAAGCTGCAAAGCATAAGACGTTGAAACTTAATACGCAAGTGTTAAGCTTGAAATTACATTAGGCGAGAGGTGCATGTATCAATAAGTTGAAAAAAATCGACGATGAGGTGTAGGACACAGTAGGTCAATTGGTAGAGCTACAGCATGGAACGCTGACGGTGTCAAGTCCCGCCCGAGTCGAAATTTTTCAATTTTTTTTCGATTTTTAATCTACAGATGGTTTGAATAATATGTTCGTAATGTAACAAAACAAAAAATATAAGAGTTTTCAAATAAACATTGCATTTGTGCCGTTCGCGCTTTCCAACTGCGGCGTCCTTGGGTTTTACTCGTAGCTTTATAAACTTTACTACTTGTTAAATTCTCTTTTTAAAAATAACTATTGTGTACGTTTCTATAAGTTACTGAAGTAGCTGAATGGCGCAGCCACCGTCAGCCTTCAAAGAACCTTTTTGCATTGCAATTCAACCGTTTCAAACGTTTTTTAAAACATTTCAGGCTTCCTTTCAAAAACAGCGAAAGGGAAATAGAAATTTGCATTGACTTTTTATAATATGGATTAAGATTCTCTTTAATAGTACAAAGTTATTATAGAGAGCATCTCTTTTGAAAAGTTTACTTTACTGAAATCTCACACCACTAAATTACGTAAAATAGAGGGAAGTTATTTATTAATAAGAATTTGGATGAAGAATTTTAGTGATTTAATTTAATTATATAATAAATACTGATATTAAGAAGTCGAAAATAAATTATAATTAAAAAAAATTTAAAGATCGAAAATAAATTGAAAAAATGTTCGACTCGGGCAGGACTTGAACCGGCATCGTCAGCTTTCCGTGCTGTTGCTCTACCAATTGAGCTACCGAGTCCTTGAACCGGCATCGTCAGCTTTCCGTGCTGTTGCTCTCAAGTCCTGCCCGAGTCGAAAAATTTTTCAATTTATTTTCGATCTTTAAATTATATAGTGCCTTCATGTGCAATAACATGTGAAAATATTAATGTTTTCAAAAAAAATTTGTTCGACAGTCGATTGGACTATTAATGTACAAATTAATTAGATTTAACGAGTAGAAAACATCTATCCTAATTTCTTCGTAGGAATGTAAACGAAAAGTTTCAAAGTGGATCATTAAATATCTTAAAAGGAAATCATTCGCGAGTTATCTGAAATTTTTCGCTATTTATGTAGATGCGATAACGAAATTCAAACTTTCCAGCCTCCCCAGTAATTAACAGAAAGCGCAGTAGGTAGAAAAACGAAAAGTTTCGAGATAGGAATTTCGTCTTAGGATTTTTACCTGCGAAGTTAATTAAATTTACGAGATCCGAGTTGAAGAAGTTAAATGCTTATGCAAATAACTAGTTTATTGTCGCTCTGCGAAGGTTTCGAGTTTCGATGGAGATATTGCGCTAACGACGGGCTAGTTTGTAATTTATTTAGTCATTGTGAAATTGCTTATTTGACTACTTTTAAAAAAAGCAGCCGAAACGTCGGGCCGAAGATAAAAATCATTTTCAAATAAGCTTAACTAATATATCGCGTTTTAAACCGTTAGTGTTTTATTTAAATTTGTACTACTCGCGTAAACTATAGACAGTATTTAATGGACTACTTCTAATTCAAAGATGTTCTCTATGTAAAATGCTTCCTTTTTATACTAAAAATCTAACTACCGTCAAATACGGCGAGTAAACTTTGTTTTTATTCGACATAACGACGGGTCAGAGGAAACGAGAATTTCTTCATAACTAAGAATCAGCCACACCTTTGAACTTCTAATGCGTTGGCGACGCATTTAGGAATTTAAATTCTTTGCACAGAGTTACTACAGATTTTTCCATTTGTGGTTCGTAAATCGGATGAAGTGTCGATATTTCTATTAGCTTATCCTGACGTAACCAGACCTGGCAAACATCGTGGGCTGGTCGGGAGTTGAATCTACGACCATTTGATTATTTATTGGCCATTGTTATCGGCCTAACTAGCCTGTCAGACGTTATCTTCATTTATAACTTTCGTATATCTTCGTAATCTTCGCATCGATCAAATCAGTTTTTATTCTGTTCAGGGTAATTGTTGCTACCATTTCGAGAAAAAACGAAACGAGTGTCCGCTGAACTGTTGTCACGCGTGCCATTCCTGTCCCCAGTACACGAATTGTGTCCCCGCCAATTGTATGGAGCCGGCGAAGAGCTGCTATTATTACTGTTGTTGATGTCGATCCGTGCTTAGTCTAAATTGTATTAGTGGAACTAAACAATGTGGCGGCTATGTTATTTGAATAAATATTTATTTCATTTTTTGTTTGATTTGTAGTTCGGTTTTATTATTCGTAATATAGGTAGTGTTAGTACTTTAAAAATGGTATGTTATGTGAAAAATTTTGTAGACTAAAGTCTACAACATTGCAAAGCTATATTCCGATCCTTATTAAATGAATTTGTAAAAAAAGTTTTAAGATCATGTACATCTTTTTGGTATATTGATGTTCACGGCCATTTTAGTTATATAGAACATCGATTTTTATTCATTTTCCCAAATAAAAAAAGTTTAGTTCGTGATCAAATCTTCCCATTGTTTTTTCGAAGTATTTGAATATACTGTAATCTTAAGTTTGTTCGTTTTTTATTGGAGATAAGATCATGATGTGGCTAGGCTTGGAATTTTTATATGCCTCGATATAGGCACAACAATAATAAAACCGGATGTAATTCTTTGTGAAAATAATTTATCGATTATTATACAGTACTAAACTATCTTTCTACAGAGAATGTTGACGCCATTTTGAGACATCATTTCCAGATTTTTAAACTCTAAAATACCAAAAAAGTGTTTAACACATAATGGGCGACAGTTTTTTTGTTCCTTTTTTTGTGATTAATGTTAATTTCACCTCAATGATATGTGGTGAACTTAAAAATATTGAACAAGTGATATGTTGATCTCATTAGATTTTATAAAATCGAGTGAATCTTTGGTTTTTTGTTTCATTTTTTTTTTAAACAAACCTAACGCACCCATTCTTTTTTTTTTTATCGACTAAAACCACAGTAAACCGATGAAAACGTGAGCTAATCTAAGTTTATTTAATAAATATACAAGTTACATCAAGCTACCATCTTGTCTAAGCATGCATTAAGTGATAGTATATAAAAGGAAAACTTTTCCCAAAAAAAAAAAACTTTAATTTTTCCCCCAATTTTGGGTGGGCCCCCCCTTTTCCCCCCCCCCCAAAAAAAGAAAAATAAACAAACAAAATATAGAAATAACTCTTCATAAGAATATTACTGTTTCAGACGCGCCGGTCGAAAAGAGAGACGAAATCAAATGGAAGGAACGAAAAGATTTCTAATAAAACCACGATAAACTAGGGATATAATAATAAAAGCTGGGAGCACTTCAATCATGCGTATCGAGGAATGTTTTGGTTTTTCATTCGACGAAGAGTAAGAACCAATGAGAAGGCGACGCGGGTGCGTGGCGGCCTTTGCGCGGTGACTTGCCGCGCACCATGCGGCAACCGGTGGCCGTGCTGCTCACCGTTTTTTATGCAGCCGTTACAGCGCAGATAGCCTGGACACCGATATTCTTAGATGGCAGCAGTATGTATTTTATAGCTATTTTGGAATGAATAACCTTCCGCTTGTTAGCTACATCTACATATAATATAAAAATCAATCACTAAATGAATTGGTAAGATCAGATTTTGAGAACATTTATTTAGACAAAAAATCAATAGCACTAGATTGAGTTTAAGGGCGAGTTATAATTAAAAAAGCGAAGGAAATTTAATGAAGTTAAATTCGTGTCACAATATTTGTCAAAACACAGTTTGGTATTTCAACAAACTTCAAACATTTTATCAACCCCTACGGCCGAATAGCCAACTCAGCTTTACAAAATGGTCGCGAAAGCCTTATTTAATTAACACAACCTTAAAAGGTTCATAAAAACAATTCCAACTATGAGTTAGCTTTTAAATAAAACACTTTTAACGGTTTAAAACACGATACACTTTAGTTAAACTTGTTTAAAAAAAATAACTACGGCCCGACGTTTGCTTTGTAGCAGCAATTTATCGCGTATTAAACCGTTGAAGTGTTTTATTTAAATGTGTACTACTCGCATAAACTACACACAGTTTTTATGAGTTAGCTGTTTGCAGATGAGCATAAAAGAAAATAAGTAATGTTTTTCAATTTTCTTTACGTTTACTTTATGCATACATATTGTTTATTCGATTAAGGAGTGCAGTACTACAGAATAGAAATGCAAACTACGGTAACAAAGACCTCTCTTGTGTTCAATGCAAAAACAATTGTATTAATTACATATAACAAATAATTAGCAGACTAAACTAGGAATAGTAAGGACCGGCTCGTTGGTCTAATGGTAGCAATGTATGGCTAATGATCAACGGGTCTTGGGTTGAATCCCCACCAGGTCCACGATTCTAATTTTTCAATTTATAATTTTTGCCATGCCATGACTGCCCTCCTCTATCATTAAAAAAAAAGAAGATTTGTATGTGATACTAGTTCTTATTTGTCTAGGTCAAGTTGATCTCTGGACGCAAACGTCGACGGGTTGTGCGTGTCCAGGGACTGGAGATGAGGAGTGCGCGTGCTGTGTACGAGATGGAGCCTGTCCTTGCAGTAATGTAGCACCAACACGCTGTGCCCAGTGCGGTCTCGAGCAGTACTGCTCTAATAGTAAGTATAGAACTAACTATGTGGAATAATCAGTAGAAGGCGAATATTGAAACAAAACACTTTATTTAAATAAAACACCTTAACGGTTTACAACGCGATATATTAGTTAAACTTATTTAAAATGATTTTTTAACTTCAGCCCGCCGTTAAAAATCATTTTCAAATAAGTTTAACTAAGATATCGAGTTTTAAACTGTTAAAGTGTTTTTTTTACACACACACAGTATTCGTCGACCAGTTCCGCTAAATTCCAACTGCGACGGAACAGGGGGCGCTAGCGTAACAGTTTTTACTTTGACAGTAGAGACGCCCTCCATCTTTAATCTCCAATAAGTGGTCATAGTTTAAAATTAAATTAATGTATATATTTCGCTATCTAATTGCGGAAGAACGAGATTTTGTTATATAAGATCTATCACTGGACGTACTTATAGTTTTAATTTGTAAAATTGAAAGTAAAGCAACGTCTAGTGTTTTTTGTACCAATAATAATCTTGCGGATTTGAAATTATCAAACATTGTGAATTATACAGTACAGTCCTCAACCAAACATGAATTGAATGTCAATAGCCAATCTCGTTGTTTGTCTAACGTAATGTCAAGTCTGTCTATCCGGTGACTAGAAGTTTTGTATGGCATAATTATGTTCTAAAGAAAATTTGTGTTTCGCTGTTGTATATATTAGTTTTTATTAGCTTTAGGCCAGTCGGCGGCGAAAATTCGAAGTGCTACAAGTAAAAATAATTGTTTATCCATTCGCTAGGGTTAGGTTGCCTTAATTAAGCATAAAATAATAGTTAAAATCCCAACTTGGAAAACTTGAAACAACTTTAGTTGGTTGTGCTTCGGTCACGTCTTTATAATGTTCTGTGGAAAGTTGCACGATTTGATAAGTTAGTGTTACTAGGTAATATTTCCAGTAACTTTTCACTGTGAATTCTTATAAATTACAAATCTTTTTACATTGAGTGCATATAGCAATTTTGAGTTGGAGATTAAATTAAATTACACGTCAAAAATAAAGCTTTAAAACCTTCTTGTTGTTTGCACCTCTTTAACTCCGAATAAATTTGAGAATATACTTTTACATGTAAACGTATGTATGAAATTAAGTATTATATCTTGTCTTTGGTTAAATATATGTCCATTTTTATTACCAAGCATAGTTTTAAAGGCTCGCTTATAAGATATTTATATAAGAAATAGAACGCACTAGCTATAACTTTCAACAAAGCATCGAGGAACATATTAATACGATAATATGCTTTTTATTGTTTCCGGATACCCTGAACCAATTTTGTTTACAGTGTGCAACATTACAATCGATTCGCGCGTTCTCAAGAGTAAGTCCGGCAAGACATTTGGTCAGATAAAGTCGCCATCCATCGAAGGCCCTGACGCGTGCTCCTATCTCCTCCAACCAGATGCCGGCCAAAGAGTCGAGATACAAATATACAGGCTGGTGTCTGTTGGAAGATTCAATGGCTCGAGGTGAGTTTATTTTTCCACTTTAGACATTTTAGTATTCTTAATATAAAGACAAGTTAAAACGCTATGAAATTTATTTAAGGACTTACCAACTAAATAAATGATGAAAGCTTAAACTAAAAATAATGACGATTAAGTATTTAAATTAAAGTAATACACAACATTGCTATATAGACAATAAAATACATGTAAGTAAAGTAAAAAAGGCAAAACTAAATAATAATTAATACTTTAGTAATACATAAAATCTACATTCGCGTATCTAAGTTATGTAATTATATTTGTCTTTAATTTAATATTTGACCAAACAATATGATACGCATAAGTTAAGCAAAAAGGAATAATTCAGAAATATCACATAAATATATACAGTGGAGCGTCGATTATCCGAACGCCGTTTAACCGAATGACCGCTTATCCGAACAGTAGTAACGCGCGGCGTCAACGGTCCCCCGCCCAACCCAAATGATAGATATGCTAAAAAATCTCGATTGCCACGAATGTGATGAAGAAGAGGTTCAACAATGACTGGTAGGCATGCTTCGGCAGACGAAAATTCAAGTCAAGGGTTAATGGTACCTACGTAGTACACATGTTTTACTATAAGATTTCATATGTGCATTTTTTTTGTCCGATATCCGAAAATACCGGTTTTCCGAACATCCATGTCCCCTAATTTATTCGGATAATCGACGCTCTACTGTAGTATGTTTAGAGTAGACAATACTTAAGGTTAATTTAAATTAAACACTTTAACGGTTTAAAACGCGATATATTAGTTAAACTTATTTGAAAATGATTTTTAACTTCGGCCCGACGTTTCGGATGCTTTGCAGCAGCCGTAGTCACGGGGAAAGGTCGGGCCAAAGATAAAAATCATTTTCAAATAAGTTTACCTAATATATCGCGTTTTAAACCGTTAAAGTGTTTTATTTAAATGTGTACTACTCGCGTAAACTATAGACAGTACTTAAGGTTAATTTTCAGACTTAAGCACCGCTCGAAGCCGACGGTTAAAAGAAACCAACTACTATTTTTAGGTTTTTATCAACTTTGTTTATAAACTTCTACGCTCTTGACGGCGGCAATCGTTTGAACTTATCGGATAGAAGGGCTTTGTGCCCGTTCGCTCTTCGTCATTGATTAAAGATCTAGTTTTACACCTCCATTGTCTTCTTCTTAGACAAAATGTGGGTAAAATACTGATTTTGTTTACTTTTACAGTTTTCTACAGCATCTAGGAACTAAATGAATAATGATCCAACCCCTTTAGTGAATAAAGCCAAAACGTAGAATCCCGTTTCCCCACAGTGGGGCATGAACGTATATGTTTCTGTGTTTCTTTCGAAATTCGAACATATTATGATCTCTTTCTTTAAAAATACGATATATATATATATGTGTGTTAAATAAAAATATATTAATAAATTTGTTATCTTCTTCAGTTATAAAAACTACAATAGCGGTCTCACTGCTTAATAAGCTTTTTTCGTAACTTTGTTAAGTCTTCTGTCAGGTATTTTCTTTTGCTAAGTTGTACCGCTTATCTTGATTCAGTTGTAGCCAACTTATAAATAAGATGAAGCTTTAAAATCCTCCTGTCCTGTTAAACTGAAACTTTCTTTAGTAACCGTATAATGGAGAAGAATTCAAAAATGTTTTCAATTGCTATAATCTCCGCCCTCTAAGACACGGAGGCGGTAGGAAAATATCAGTAAAACTTCAAGTTGCAACTTGAGAGGCGCATAAATATTTTAAAATAAAAAACATCGTTATAAACGCCCTATCATCAATGGAAGAGCGCCCATCTTGTTATTGTAAGGTCAGAGTTATCAAGTCAAGAACGCTGAAGGATGCCTGACCTTAAACTGTAGCTGTGTTTGCTTATACTGTTTGTTTACTGAGAAAGTTCTATCTAATAGCGCTATACAACAATGTCTATTAACTAATATTGAAAGATACATATTTTTCTTTTGAAAATCAATAAGTGCAAATATTAGAATAAAAAGGACCATTTTTATTGTAGTAATAAAAATTATTCTTTAACTATTACATACATCCATTTCATGGGGCTGAGACTAACATTTTAGATATATTGGGTGTAAAGTCAGAAAATATCACAAGAAAAACATAGCAGGCTGTATAAATTGCCTATAACTTCATATGTTTTAATTTGACATTCATGACAAAAATATCGATTCAGTAATAATTAAATAATCGGTAACGATCTTTGTAGATGGGACAAAAATTTACCTTTAAGCGTGAAAGGGTTAATATATAAAGCTTTTATGTATTTTGTCCTTAGTTGTATGTTCATATGTGTTATGTATGGTTTTATTCACATCTCTGTATGCGTAGTTGTGTGGGTGGCTGGCTCCAACTCGGAGGTGCAAGTGCAGTTCAAGACGCGAGCGGCGCGGCTGAAACAAGGCTTTGTGGTGCTAACGAAAGATACACTCCGCCGGTGGTATTGTTTGCTGATCATGGCGCCGCGATTTTAGACTTTAAGTAAGTCTTATAAGATACTAAATCGTTTGACGTAGCTCATGACATTTGAAACAATTGTTTCATGATTTAATTAGGTCATATACTTTTCTCTTAACTACCACAAGAACAATTACAGGAAAGTATTATCTATTTTAAAGTATACATTTTTGGACAAAGATTAATTTTTGAATTATTTTTGGTCATTTGGAATTCCATACTTAGATAGAACTTAGAATATGTACTGCACCTCGAAATCTCCATTGTGATTTAGCATTTACAAACAAAGCAATTTAGTTCTCCTGTTTTGGCATTACAATTCATATCAGGTCACAAGTTGGTGTCTGGTGTTCAGTCAATAGCAGAACTATTCCCAGTTCAAAATCATAATTAGACCATTGTTTGACTGATTAATCAGATTTTAGGATAGCATTTGATATGTTTTAGTTCGAATGTAACTTTAGTTGAATCTATTACCATTGTTAACATCTATTGCTAAAATTTAAGTACGTCATTGTCGATGTGGTTTTGAGGTTTGTTAGAAGCGGTAAAAAATTAAAAAGGGAATATGTCCGTATTATTCGTCAGTCTAAACGGTCGCATGCAATATTACGACTTTGATTGCGGCTTTTTTATCTGGCGATGGTGGTTTATGACCCTGACTGAATCTCAATGTTCATACCACCCATGCAAGTTCCAGATAAAATCCGATATGTTTCAATAAATATATAAATTGATTAGAACTATGCTGGACCGGGTGGGGGTCGAACCAACGACCCGTTGATTATATAGGCATTCATTTTACCATTGGACCAACCACGTCAACCTTTTCGGATTAGCATTGTGACTAATAAATCTTGAATTATTGTGTAGGAAACCCGAAATGAATCTATTCTAATATAATACTAAAATATTTGAATACATGCGTTAATATATTTTTATTATTATTATGAACATTATAAAACCTCATTTCCAAACCCCATCGTTAATTTATTAAAATTGCAACAATTATAAAAGGTGTTTGCTTTAATCTAGACATCTACCTTCACTAGGATTTCAGACACAACTGTGAGATCGCAATTCCTAGCATTCTTCAGTTTCACGTCTTTGAGTAACACTCAAGGAGTTGGGTTTCATCCGCGAGGAGGTTCCAGGATACCTCACACAGGTAATAGACATTTTATTACGTTAAAGGTTTATTCCGGTTACAGTTCATAAAGCAAACAGTAGCCCAGTTTAATGTCCAATTATAATAACTTTTTTAGTTATCGTTAGAAAATTGTAACCCCGTTCTACTGTTCGCGTGTTTGTTCATAATAATTAGCTTGCTCAAAAGAATGTTGCTGTTAGAGTCGCCTGATTATTTGAAATAAATCTATGTTGAAATAAGTGGGAGCGTGTTATGCATTCGAAGAATATGTTGTAACTAATTTATTTGTATTATACAATATGTTAGAGTCATTAGTGCTTTGTAGAGAAATAATGTCCCGTTAATATTGCTCTTCAGTATTTATTCGTCATAAACAACATCACGGGGGTATAATAATTGTCTTGAATTACAACTATGTTGGTCGAGAGAATGTATCGTACATCCTCAAACTGTCGTGAAGATGTAATGTATACACTATTTGCTCACGGAAAATACTGTAGAACGCGGCAAGATAAAAGAGTAAGTATTTATTGGAGGATTCGAAGGATTTTTCCATAATAACGCAAGTGCGGTGGACAAAGGTGCGACCCTCGTCAGAAACATCGTATACGCAGATACAAGGCTACCCAATGGACGCAATATATCACATATTGTGTTTTATCAACAGCAGCTCCTTTAATGGCGTTAGGTTGCTCCTTTTATGTATTCGTATTAATAATTCATCAAATTCTCGTACCGAGATGATTAAGACACTTACACGGGCTCGTGAGCAGATTTAATTTCGAATGGAGTATTATGTTTCCCGTAAAATTCATTTTGAAGACTATAATATTTTGTACTCAAACGACTCTCGGCTGCAGATCATGAAGTCCAAGATCTTGGAAAGAGACATGCTTTTTGGCATTTGGATTTTTTGGAAGAAAATTTTCCTTAATAGGTTTTCTTACCTCCTACTAAGTGGGTGGGGGTGGTAATTATACATTAAGAAAGAAAAGGCCTGTGCCCAGCAAGGCACATTTACGGTTTGAAACAATTTTATCAAAATGAAGATCACGTATATTTGAAACTTTCAGAATTGTTCAGTTCAAAAGAATTCTTTCAGAAAAAGTTAAAAAAATGCTCCTGTGACAAGTGGAACAAGAGCGTCACATCGGTAGGTGTCCTGAAAATGTAATCTTTTTTATAATGATGTTCTTGACGGAAAATACTGCACAGTTTATCTAGTACGTGGTACAGTGAAATTGCACGCCATGATGTGACAACCCTGCCAGCGCTAGAGTACGGAAAATTGTTTCCACTAAGCTGAAATGGTGCATTTTTGCCACGTTTTACTTCGTTTAGATGCTCTTTTGAAAAGCTTTTCGCGTTCATTCAAACTCTTTACACGTTCTGGGTTTGAAGATAAAATAATATACTGAAAATGTATATATCCGAAGACACTTTGAGGACATACTTTGCCGACTTGTGAGGAGTTTATTCAAGTTATCTCGTTTGTATGGAATACGAAGGCTTCTGTAGAGCCGTTCCGTTTCACGCTACATAAAAGAATGGAAGTAATCAAAGCCGGTTTAATATATACGCATTATGTTTTATTACCTGACTGCTCACAGGAAAATAGCTATTACGCCAAAGTGAGTGCAATGAAGCTCTAAATTGCTGCTGTTAACTACCTAGATCATATTTCTGCCACTTTTCCCTTACAATTTACATCATTTGGCTGGCGACCTCTCTTTCAATGTTCTTTCTAAATATTATTCAGCGTTTTCATTAGAGCTCTAATTTATCAGCTAACTGAGCTAACCTTTTACGACAAATGTTTAATACACCTTTATTAGAGGTAAAAAAAAGAATGCGGTCACAATATAACTCGTAAATAAAAGGAACCCTGTTACGCAATTTTAGTTAAGTAGAGTTTAGTTCACGCTTAGGTAAGACTAAACGTTTTGCAGGAATAGATGCCGTTAGACGTAATCCACTAATAATTTTAATTTCTTATGCTTGTTTATTCGTGTGACGTTTAGCTATAACTAAAATACCTGATAAACATCAAAGATTGTGTTTTTTAATATTATATAAGACAGTTTTAAGATATAAAAAAAATTGTCAGTTTGTTTATTGATTAACTTTTAAGAAGTAATATAAGATTTGTAAGGATTTATGACATATTACCTACTATTCTGCCAATTCTGGAATACGGACGTTTTAGCTCGATTTGTGTAACATGTACAGATTGCGACTGGTTGTATCAAGATGTGTCCTGTCGAACGCCCGGCTCGTGTGTGTTAGCCAGCCCCGGTTATCCGGGTTTATACCCGCCTCATCGACGCTGTCGCTACCTCTTCGCTACAAACTCAGTACACACCAGAGTCAAGATTATCTTTACTTCTATAATACTACCGAGAAAGTAAGTACACTGCAATTATATATATAGAGTTTTTATTATTTGTTTCTTTACTTCATTTATTCTTATCGTAAAGTCCTATTAATTTAGTACTTCGGTGTCATAGTCGTAGTTTGAAAGTTATATTTTCTTATACTTTACAAAGCAATAAACTCCGTTGATTTTATGCTCGGTGAGTTTGAAATTATAAGGTTTTAATAGATAAACGGATAGCTACTTCCTTATTTATAATCATACATTTGGATGAATAAAATATCCAAACACAAAACTTTAGTCCAACTTAAATAAGACAAATGAAATTTTCCTTAAAATGATTGATTGTGTAAGCATTGTTAATTCTGTTTAAAGACTTAATTCAGTCGAAATTAGTTGACAAAACTTACTAAAGTTACCTAGAGTTCGTTTCCCGTTGGTTATATACCGAGGGTGAAGTTAATAAATTACTTGGGCTTTTGTTATTCTCATTCTTGTTGGCTTAGTTCACGTCGCGCGGTCAAATTTTAACATTTTCCTTTGACTTGATTTCCTAAGTTAATAGTAATTATGAAATTAGGGATTCTGTCTTTACCTTTATTATTCTTATGTTTTAATATAGAAAAGTGTGAATGAATGATTTCTAATGTAATTTAAGGCTTTGTTAAATCGATATATTTTTTAAGGAAGAATTTTGAAATAATGCATTTTATTTCTTACAATATCAAAGCATTTGTGTTCTTGTTAAAAGCTATTAAAAACTATTATACAAAGTTCTCAATCACAAGAGCCACTCGTGCACGTTTAGGTTATCGTAAAAAGAATGTGTTAAAGCTTAGACAAGTATCATTTTGTCTGTAACACCAGCACCTGTATGAATGAACTCGATCGGCTGTAAAAGGTTGACATAACTTTGTCTGATGTAGGGTGATAATTTTAGATACTAAATTAAAAGGAAATAATTCTAAATCGCAGAATAAAGATTACTTACGTCTCTTACTATTTATTGAGACTGAGAACTCGGAATTAAAGTATTTTTGACAGGGATTCAAACCCACAACCAATGTCGTAATTTTCTTGTCTCAATTAAGCTTCTGTGTCATAGAATAATAATCTATTTATACATCCACATATTGTAAAATATGATACATCAAGAAATTAAGCGTCATTCATTTTTATGTTATTATTGTTTCGATGTTGCATGGCTGGGGAATTTCTTCTCCATTAAGTGAACTTCACGATTGTTTGTTTGTCTTACTCTATATTTAAAAAAATATTTTTATATAATTTGCTAGATTCTTTGTTCAGTGGGCGATCTCAAAAAAATGTATATCAGTGCGCGATCGAAAGAATGCACAACAATACAAGCGTGAACTGTCAAACTTAACATCACATGTTAGACAATGTGTAACCATCGGTTGAGTAAATAAAAGAGCTAGCTGTATATAAGCTACAAAATTTTACATCGCATATAATAGAGCTGGAGAATGCGGGCAGGTCCATTTACTTCAATTGATGTTTTCAATTGTGCTCCACTTTGTGAATAAGTTAATTGAAATTCAACCAATGGACGCTTTCATGGTGAGTGATGTTCTATGAACAAGTGTTTTTGCTGCTTTCCAATAGTTTATTTGCATAAATGTTCACAGCCCATATATTGATTCTATTGTCATTGTTTCCGCAGTATTTAGACACTATTTTCAATAGTATCATGCGTCTCACAAACGCTTTCGTTGCGAAATAAATTGGTCATCATATTGTTTGAAATTATTTTTAATATGTAGTTTTAATTTCTTATTAATATTGAAAGTATGTGATGATATGATGTTTAAATTACTTATATTAGAACATTATTTTTCTGTTAGCGACTCCGTCTGCGAAGAAAGGTTGTTTTTGCAAACTTCCTCTTCGTCTGTATAAACTTAAGCTGTTTTCTACGACGTCGGACGCGTCCCATAATTTTTGCAAATCTTAAAATATAGCGTCGCGTCTTTTTTTAGATTATTTAAAGAAGAATCATTCTTTCATACATAATTTTCGGATGTCTTGAACCGTCTTTGTAGCGTGTGGATAACGAACAAAAATATTTTTTAACTCGAACCAGTAGTTCCTGAGTCTAGCGCATTGAAACAAACGATCTTTTCAGCTTTATATATTAGTATAGATATAAAATATAAGCAATAGCTACATGGTTTACTTACACGTTGAATTATTTATGTGTTATATACTAAAGTTGATTTAAAATTCTGCAACGCAAGCATTATCCTAATGCATTTCTAAATCTCAATTCAATTAATAATGCATGAAGCTAGTTAGATACAATGGAGTTCCACCCTCGAGGATACTTTATGGTAATTGGTTATTCATCTTAATGTCCTATATTATATTAATAATTAGTGACTCGCCAATGTTCGGTTAACATTCGGCTTACATAACCGAAGTACGGTGCAAGTAAAAGTATGACTGAAAATGTAAATAATAACTGTTTGTAGTTTAACTTAGTAGAACATATTCAATAAAGCCTTCAATTTACTATCTATATATAACAATATATTATATATTATTGGCCCATCGTTACCATCAAAACCTCAATTGACTTTTTAAACATAAATTAATTAACAAATTGTGGATTTACAAAGTCAAAAGAACTTTATTTAAAGTAAAAGGAATTGTGTTCTAATAAATAAATTAAGACCTAAGATGTGAATCTTATCATAAAGATATCTAATAAAGTTATTAAAGAATAGGAGTAATTTGAGTAGTGTTGTTACGCCACAACAGTATATAGGTATGTTTTAACAACGAAGATAAGAAATTCGACCAGATGAATTTCTAATCTTCGGATCGGCTTCGGTTTAAAATTTATTCGATCCATCTCTAATGCTACATTTTAGTATCTTTCTATTATGCCAATTACCTTTCATTACCTGATATTTATTTGCCTTAGAACAAGCAAAAGAATTACGTTCAGATATTTATGAATATAACAATGTTGTTAAGATTTAACAACTGTTTGTCTTATGTTAGATCGGGATAAAATTGTGTTATAATTAAAAATAAACAGCGTAGTATATATTTTGTATTAAAGCGTATGCTTCTTCGTGCAAAAAAATACTACGAGTATTGGCGAAAATAATTGGTAGGTATAAAAGTACATATTTTAGATATTACAATATAAATGCCAAAAAACATCGTTCCTGATTTATTAACTAACCGAAAAACTAATAAACATATGCAAAAGTAAATAAATTAACCACTATTTCTCGTGTATTATTTAAATGTGTAATACTTTCGTTATCATAATCACATTTAACACATTTTTTTAGTATTTGACTACATTATACATCTAATATCGACAAGTCATCGTATAAACCTAACGTCGTGTTGTCCATTTGTCAGTCACTGCACAACAGACTACCTGACGTTGAGGGCTGGCAGTTCACCTTCAGCGTCGCTCTTGGGCACAATATGCTCTGAACGAACCGCAACGGTCGAGCATCCTGGTCCAAACCTATTGCTTGAATTCAAGTAAGTGTAACAACATAAATAGTTATAGATTAGTAGACAATTATAGTTGAAGTAGTAGAAAAAAAGCTGATATTAGAATTTCTGGAAGAGCGTGGAGAAGGCCTTCGCTTTTTAAACGAGGTCTATAACAATTATACAGATAAATATAATTATATTATAATTTATGTAGTTATACTAAATTTTAACAGGCATTTTTGAGTATTTATTTTTTAATAATTGTATAATCATAAAAAATAAAAGGCTTTTTGTTTTCTTTATTTTAAATTATTATAGTTAACACATTTAATATTTCTTGGGACAAAATCATAATAAGGTTTTATGTATAATAAAACGTAACTCGGCCCGACTTCACGGCTGTTGCAAAGCATCCGAAACGTCGGGCGGTAGTTAAAAATAATTTTGAAACAAGTTTTACTACAATATATTGCGTTTTAAACGGTTCAAGTGTTTTATTTAAATATGTACTGCTCACGTCATCTAATAAATAAAAAAATAAAATAAAAAGCTTTTATTACGAATACCACACATAGGAATTTACAATTATAAATGTTTCTTACTTATATTTACAAAGTTTATTTTCTACTAGTCATCTACCTATTTTACTTTTATAATAAGCCTAGATGCGTGTGCCGATCGGCAAAGGCCTCCTCCAATCTTTTCCACTCCCTTCTATCTTGGGCTACTCTATTCCACGTGACTCCGGCCACTTTCCTAATGTCATCTTCCCATCTTTTCCAAGGCTCGCATAATCTACAAACAGTATTTAAGTAACGATATTATATTAACACGATTTTATTATATTATTAACACGGTTATCTTCTTCTTGCGAATCGATTCAAAAATGAAATGCTTTTTTCGTTTATTCACATGCTGCAATGTTATACGTGTAGATTTACAATAAAAACATTGAATACAATTTCTTTCTCAGTTCCGGTCCTCTAGTACCACCGTATGACTATAACGGGTTCATCGCTAAATTAGAATTTGTGGAGAAGACTGAATCAAGTGCACCACCGCCGACCGTGGTCGCTGCAGCTCCGCCCTTAGCTGCGCTTACGCATTTAACAAATCATGGTGAGATTTTCAATTCTACCCACATTTAACAATTATTTATATACTTGTATTTATTTTCAATTTTATTTTTTACAATTTATTATTTATAATATATACTTCAAACAAACATTTGCTTTTTTTTATAATTGTAATTGTTATTGTGAAGATAGCAATGATCATCTAATATGTAAAGTCTTATAAAGCGGGAAAACAAAAAGATAAGATTTTCGTTTGTTTATTTGTAAGTACTATAAGAATGTATGTAACAGGAGATCGGCCGATAGAACACGAAACGATATCAAATGAGATATCGAGTAGTGGACGAGTGGGGTGTGGTGCGACTGTTCGAGGTTATGGACCTGGAGGTGCCCGTTCTGGTCACTTCGACACCAGGGCGAGCGCTTGGAGGACACAGTGTGCTATACATTTGCTAGGTGTACCCACAGACGTTGTACAAGTTTCACTGTTTAATTATAATTTAAGGTAATTACAATAGTTTAGTTAGTTAATTAGAAAAATAAGTTAACTTATAAGTTTAAGTACATAATTATTGAAATGGTAAATAAGTTAAATAATAAAATAAATGAACTTTTACGAAATAAGATACGAAAAAAATGCATTTATCGAACCATACCATAGAGTATAATCGCAGGGAAACCCTATGTGTTTTCATGTGAAAGCATCTCTATGTAATGCTTGAAATAATGGGTCCTGAGGAAATCTAATTGTTTCGGTTCGGCAGGGCATAAAAATCTAATCAACTACTTGTCTGATATATAATCTGATCTGTGACGGACATAGAAATGTGTTCAGCTCATGATCTGCATAAGAAAAAGGGATTGCATGTTTAGAATAATTATATTTCATTCTTCCCTATTAGATTAGTTATATTTAATTCTCATTAAGGCTGAGGATATCATGAATATTTTTTTATATCTTTACAAATTAAATTATTCATGTTTACTACATTTCAAACGATTTTTGAACAATAAAATAGTTTGTTAAAAAATACATCATTTCCTTGAGACTGAATGAAAAACAAATGCCAATCTCGCATTTCAACGGTAACATTTTCCCCGAAAACCTAATTTCAAACAGCGTATTTGACCTTTTCCTTTTTATTTATTAGATGCCTTTCTCTCATTACTAATGACCAGTTCCTGAAACAACCGTATATATATACAGACTATATTATTAACTATAATGTCTTTTTATAAAATGTTTATCTAGAATAATATTCTAAAATTAAAAAGTCGGTTTGCTTAAACGCGCTAATCTTGGAAACTACTGATTCGAAATAAAGATCGAAGTTAAAGAGGAAGGCTTTAAGCTATATAATGGAGAGACCAATTAGAAACAAAAAAACCAGTGAAGTTATTAAAAATCATTCATCTTATAATATATAATTATATAATATACATATATAAGAATAACTGCTTTTAAATGATCTAGAAAAATGTCCAGAATATATTTTAAGTATATATACTCACAGGAACCGTTTTTATGTTAATTATGGTCGAAATCAACACCTCATTACCAATTAATTGAAGCTGCTAGAGGCAGAGTGGCCTAATAACAAAAATCATGATTTTCAATAAGGAGGAAAATAAAAATGCCAAATGACTTCAATGAAAATAAAAATGCCAATTGACTTAGGCGAAAATGAATTTGTACTATTATTTGTGTAAGAATTATGTTTACAATTTCAGTCACTGTGTTCTTGTAGATTAACATTTTTAATCAGTAAAATTATAAATAAATTAAGTCATAAAATTGCAGTTAGGCCTCAATTGTTAAATAGTTAAGTTAAATAAGCAAGAAAAAACAGCTTGAATTAGGCATGGAGGTTCAGTCTTCGAATCTGGGGACAAACAGAAGAAGTCAGTAGGATGGAGACAAAAGACATGTAATCTACTTGCCCCTATTAAAAGTTTGATATAGTATTGCTTACGCCAAAGAGGGTGCTGCGTAGCGCGTAGCGGGGTCTACGCTTTTTCGCTACGAGATGCTACGAAAGTGGTACTTATTTTTAAATAAAACACTTCAACGGTCCAAATGTGTACTACTGGCGTAAACGTTATTTTTTGTGAAAATTACTGTAATTATTGACGTGAATTGTCTTGTTTTCTTAACAGATTACAAAGCTGTCGATCTCACATTGAGATCTTAGAGGGTCTTCACGACTTCGGTGGAAGAGGTGATAGGGCGGACAGGTACGAGCGAGGGGACAGAGCGCTCCTCAGAGTCTGCGGCCCCTCCGTGAGGGAGGCCAGAGACCCCTCTGGAAGGTTCCTCGTCCGTCAAGCTGTTACTTCGAAGGGTGCTAACCTGACTATCTTAGTTCGAAGAGCGGCTTCTCAGAGCGCAGACGAAGAGGAATTTGTCGATGGTGCTTTTGCATTCCACGACGGTAAGTATATATAGTATAACACGAGTTGGTAAAAAAAAACAAAATATAATTACTTAAATAGAACACTTAACACGTTGGTGGTCAGGTTGTACTCTAAACGTTAATTACTATGTTTTGCATTGAAACCTTTAAGTCTTTTATTTATTCTTTTGTACTTGCTAAAGTAAAGTGTAAAGTATAGCCAATATTTAAATAAAACACTTAGAGGGACTCTCCATCTTGTGTTTCCCCGCGACCTCAGCTGCTGCAGAGCATACGAAACCACGAGCCGTAGTTACAATTATTTGTAAATAGGTTTAAGTGATATATTTTTTTTACGTTTTGAACCGTTACAATGTTTTATTTAAATGTGTACTACTTGTTTAAATGACAAACAGTATTTATAGTTATTTAAATATCAAGAAATATCATGTAGAACAACACGAAGGCACAGTCTCCCCGGACGCGACGTGTGCGTCGACCCATTACGGTCTAGCTGCGCCGGCGCATGGTGGTGTGTCAGCGCCCTCACATCATCATATCTTTTGGAATATCGAAGAGAGACTCTTGTGTTCGCATCGCTTCATACCAGCCGCTAATCAAAGCGTTACCATTGAGGTTTGTGACTAAATTTGAAATAGATATAAATAAAAATGAATGGCAAAATTTTCACATGCTAAAAGTTTATCGTTTAGATTGTATTTATTTGTACTTAAGATACAAGGTAACAGAAAAGCATGGGGTTAATTCGATGATAGATGAAATACACAAACCATATAACATTTATACAAGATGCGCTGAAACCGAAGCGCGATTAAATTTGACGGCTTTTTCATCTGTGGACGATGGTTCGCGACCCCGGGCGGAATTACTATATTCTTACCATCCATTTAATATCCAGATTACCAGACGAGGTTATTAATTAATTGAAATGTTGACCCGGTGGGGTTCGAACCCGCGACTCGTCGATTATTAGCTACTCATTGCTACTATTACACCAACGAACCCGAAACCGATTAATCATAATAGGCGGAAGATAACGTTTCATTAAAACTCATATAATATTTTTCTTGGTTTAATACACGAGACAATTTTAATAATATTTTCACTTCACCTCAAATGTATTAGGCATTACTTTAACAAAAATTTAAAATTGCATACAATTTATGTTAATTCCGTTTCATTTTCAATATTGAATTCTGCACAGTATATATACGTTAGGTTTTATCTCGAGATGGAAGGATCACAATTTTATTTTATCTCTTCAGAGAACGCAATTACCATAAGAGCTCTACTTTATAGCCTTTTCTATTCGTTCCGAACGTAGACTACATACACGGTTTTTATTTAGCAACAAGAATGATTATTGATTTTTCACTTGTCTATCGATAAGATTAAAATGGTCGCCTTTGTGTCGTACGTATTATACTTACGTACGGAATAATTGCGTTGTTATGTAACGTTACTATAGTTAGGGTACTAATATTGTACACGAGTACAATTTTATGATCTATTGAAAAATAATGTATTAAATTAAATGTATAGTTTACAAGATTTGAAATATTTACAGGGCTCGAACCTACAACAGATGGCATGTTCTGTGCATTGAGGGATTGTGTAATATTTGAGCGATTTTAAATTCGCCATATGTAAATAGCTCAAGCGCCATATGTAAATAGCTCAAGCGCCATATGTAAATAGCTCAATACCTTTAATTATTATAATTTTTTTTAAGTATATTTTTTATTTCTTTAGAATAATTACCATTGACAGATACAACGCTTAGAGAGGATGTGGAGCGCTGAACCAACTAGCCTGGTGGTGCCAGGGGAGTCTGGATGCCGCACCGCCTGTGGCGATGCCGGTTGCGAATGCCGGTCCGCAACCCCACTACACTACCATGACCACATAGCATTGGTGGCGGGAGACGGAACACACTTGTCTTGCCTTTGCGGCGATTTTCAGGTTTAGTTTTCTTTTAAAAATAAAAATAGATTTTAGATTAAAAAAGAAAAATATGACATGGATAGGACTTGAACCAGCATGTGGCGGTCCGTGGTGTTGCTCTAACCAATTAAGCTACTGTGTCCTACTCGTCATCGTTGAATTTTTCAACCTATTGGTGTATGCCCTCTCTTGCGCATAATAAAGTTTTAACCATTCAATCCAACATTAACTTTTCTAGGGATAGAACAAACGTTGTACAAACCTTTAACTAGCGCAAATCTTAGTCTAATAATATTATAAACAACATTACTTGTTTCACTAAAGGTTCGAACAGGAAAAATATTCAAACAGCAACAGTGGGTATTAAAAAAAATCCTTCACATTTTGTTGGACATATTTTCTCCATTTAGAAACAATGTTTTCAATTTATCATCAATTCCAGACAATCGGAAACGTTTGGCTAGCTGACAATATGTGGCCACACAACATTACAACCGGCTGCCGATTTGAAATGTACAAACATTTATGCCATTCTCTCGTTTTGTTACATATTTAAAGATTATTGAAAACGCGTCTTGTTACCTCTCTGTATCTAGTGCCTTTCAAGGAAACGTAGCCAAAAACATAATAACGGCTTATAACATACTAGCTGTGCCTGTGACTTCGTCGCATAGGAAAGTTGTTTGGGCGTCGTGATTTGTTTTTGCTTATCTCTTTCTCATCTTTATAAATTATATTATATAGCGGTTACCCACATCGCTCGCGTCCCGTCTTTCTTGTAAGTTAATCGGACGCCTAAGACATTGTACGGCCATTTTAGATTTAATTAAAGAGGAATCATTCTGCCATACATATTTTCGGAGATCTTAAACTGTCTTAAACTCTCAACGATACTTCGGTGTTTGGTCTACATTTACCACTGTGTTTGTTGACTTTGCTCCTTTTCGTCGCATTGTAAAATAAACCTTTCTTGGTGAATGCTCTAATCAACACACAATTTTTCTTTAAATTTGAACTAGTAGTTCTTGAAATTAGCGCGTTCAAAGAAACAAACGACAGCTTTATAATATTAGTTATGCGATAAGAGTATATTCATCGTTTAATATAGTAGGTACGTATTATATTCGAGGAAATGAAAATGTATTTTATACACATTTCCAATAAGGAAACGGATAATATACCTTATTGTTAGAAACAAAATGGCTGTCTCGAAACGCGACGATAATTACTTGACGTACAACAGGATATTCAGAGCAATCGACAGAAGAAATCACGGATCGTTTCGTTCTGAGCAAATTAGCTATCTCCGTTTATAAATAACAAGATAAAGATGTAAGATCTTATAAAGGAGATAGGTGTATTGTTGAGAGCGTAATGAGAGTAGATAACTCCGCCTTTGTTCTTCAAAGATTTTCATCTGTTATTTTATACAATACAGTATTGTTAGAACTTCGGTATTAACTAATTAATTCGTACTTATTTATAACGGAGGGCTCACGCCTTCATCACATAATGGAGGTTCAAAGGTTCTGTGTAAGAAGGAAATGGAGCATTCTTTCTGTTCCAGTAAATTTATGTTACCACTAGCTGTGCCCGCGGCTTCGTCCGCGTGGAATTGTTATTTTGACCATCATAGTATATATTTTGGCAAACAAACCCCTTAGCTGTAAAGATAATTTAAAAGTCAGATACATAGTATTGTGATTTTTTTAAGACAATTGAATGAAGAATCATTCTTTCTTACATAGTTTTGTTCTTTAAACGGTATTCGCAGCGCGCAACGGGAGCCCTCCAGGATGATAAATTTCACTTTTCCAACATTTTCTTCGCATCTATTGATTGCTGCCTGACGCTTTGTAGCCTCTCTCCAGAAATAGTCCAACCAACACAATAAAAATCGATCTAGTAGTTCCTAAGATAAGCGCGTTCAAACAAACCTAAAAACTCTTCAGTTTTATTATATTAGAATAGAATTGATACTAGCTAGCGGAACACGTGTTTTGATTAATAGAACTAGGTTCAATTTAAATAAAACCATTTTTGGAATGTCTGTGCTCGCGCGAAGGATTCAGCAAATCCTCTACGCGCGCTGCAGCGTCGGTTACGTCAAGCCAAAGCCCCTTACCCCGATACAACGCAAACTCGTAGCCGAGCTGAAGCTCTAATAAATAAAATAATCGTGTTACCGAAGCCGGGACCTATGCTAACAACCCCATGGCACAACAGGACGATTAGGGATACGATAACAAACTTATTGCGTCTTAAAAAAACTTATTTATATTAGAATTGTTATCCTAAAGTTGACGAAACTTGCTTGAATGATGTAACTGTATCGCATTATTATAATTATGATGTTTGATTGCATTTAGATGGAATAGCATTGTATGACAATCAAACACGTCGTAGGTTGATTCCAGTGAATCGGTGATCTGGTTTCAATCTGGGTGTTTTCAAATATCCGAAGCCAAAATTAATCAACAGCGCATGTTGTTTAAATTTTATTTAGTGGGGGTATTCTACCTACCATCTAGTTAACCCTCTTTGTCTGTCCTCCACAATTATAAAAACAGATATTGTGTCGTACCTGATATTATTGTACCATGCTCATACATGACCGTACAGCTACCCCTTCTGTTGCTTTCCGGGCTGGTGCCTGATCCGCATAATTAAGTAAGAGGGTTACTATTAAGTATGTAATAGCAATAAAGCGCTGGACAGCGACTGGCGCAAGGGACTAAAAGCCACCACTAAATTATTAAACAAGTCGGGACCCAATATTGTGCACAAACAATATTGTGCTATAATGCATATATGATTGTTAGTAACATACTGTTAAATAACTTACAACGGTTCAAAACGTGAAATATATAAGTTAACTTATTGACTTATTTCACGTTTCGGTTGCTTTCCAGCATCTGTGGTCACCAAAGGCATCATACTTTAACTTACTTAATAGGAAATAAGTTAACCAATATATTTTACGTTTTAATTCGTCAAAAATGTTTTATTTGAATGTGTACTACTCGCGTAAACTACAGACGCTACTTCGTATATCCCTTTTTTACGTATGTTTGTGTATTGGACAAAAATCTTTTTGTTTTCAAGAATAATGTTCCTTTATCTTTTGATGAAACAAACCTATATTTAAAATAGTGTTATAAATCAGTAGATAAATAAATCTTATTCGCTGCTTCAAATACCTGATAACTGCAGTCTTATAACAATAATCTATAATTCCCCAATCGGTGTTTAAGTACCAACTTCGTACCCAGGACCACTCAACTCTAGGCAACACGTTTAATCATTTAGCTCCAGAGATGTACTTTGAACTATCATATTACGTCGATAAGTTAATGGTTAAAATCACTAGCCGGAAAGTAATATAAATGTAATAATGTAGGTTTAGATATTGTGTTCACACGAATAAGTGGTACACATCTTAAACAATATTTTAACATTTTAAAACGCGACACATTAGTTATACTGTCCCCAGTTATCCTGGTGAAAAGTTTAACTAATTACCGTTTAAATCTTCTAAGTGTTTTATTTAAATGTAGGTTTATTTTTTCATAAAGTAGGCGAAACAATTTACAAATACTTCAGTGTTAAAACAAAGAAAATTAAAGAACTGGTAAGTGTACCTAACTTTATATTTTATATTAAGCAAAACGAATGGGAACTTAATTTTTTAAAATATTCTTTCACGTTTTCAAACTGTTATTTATTAATATTGTACCACTATGTTTGTTTTAAAGTTTAAATTTAATATACAGATAGCTTGACTCTTAACATTGTAAATACTACACTTTTCATACTCTATAATATCCACTGGCGGGCTTTTTAATAAATAAATTTATCTTTCCAAAAGCTCTAATCTTTATGTGTAGATGTATGTTTTCTAACTTTTTTAAGTTAGAAAAACAACATACGACACACAACAAAACCCATCATCAACACATCCAACGTGGGCATGCCTTTTTCATATGTCTCCAACGAACGCCACATTAATCCGTTAGTTATGTATTGTGCGGCCACGGTTCGGCGGTCACACTACGACACATAACTCGTGGCGTGTCCGTCCGTCCGTCGTACATATTAGTGGCCAGCGATCCTACTCTGAAGCATCCTCGAACATTCCCATGGGGAAACAGTAATCCGATCAGATATTATATAATATTATTTCCCTTTTTTAGGTTTGATCATTTTAATATAATTAGATGGCTGAAATATGTATGTTTCGTTGTAACGAAATGCATTATAATTTATTAATTGTATAAATATGTAATGATTGTGGGTGGTATTCTAAATTTAGTGATATAATATTTACTACGAAATTATTTGCGCGTTATGAAATCGTGTAAATAATAGCGCCAAAGTTGACGTAGACTTATTTATTTTTAAATGTAACCAATTAATGAAGTTTCAAAAATCCTTATCTCTACAGAAGTATTATCATTGTATTAAGGTGACTTTATGAATTACTATAGTTACCTTATTTCATAATTCTTTACTTTCATTGTTACTTTTATACGCTTTCTTATATATACAACTATTATAAAGGTGAAAAGTTTGTTTGAATGCTAACGCTAATCTCAAAAAAAATCAGTGATTAATGGATAAACGGAAAAAAATATTTATTTTTAAAGATTTCCGTTACGCTACTAAATGGTTCAAGATACTCGAAAAATATGTATGAAAAAATGATCCCTCCTTAAACAATGTAAAAAATATATGTACTACTATATATCTATCTATTAAGATTAACTTGAAAGAATGATGGAGCCACGACGTGTGTTGCTACAATTTTTAATCAGGAGGAGGTGAGCAAAAGTAAATATTGATGCCCAAAATAACGATTGTTCGCGTACGAAGTCTTATATATATGAGTAATTTTTAATTAGTTATAGTACAATATATATACCAGTTTCTAGTCTAATTCAGTCGAATGACATTCATTTTAAATAAAAAAAACTATTACAGCTTTCGATAGTGATATTACGGGAACGTAAGACCCGATCTTCCATTCCCCCAGAGAATAGGTCGGGGTCCTGTCCCTTACTTTTTATTATCAGTATGCAAGAAATCAACTTATTAAGTCTACGGCTGGGTACGCTTTTTCATAAAAGGTTTCGAGAAAATATTCAGCGGCAGCTCTTTGAATTCCTAATCGTGTAAGGTCTTGTATTTGCCTATGTAAAATGTAACGGTTAATTATGTTTTTCGCTTGAGGATATTTACAATTTTATGTCGTTATAACGCCTGTATATAAATGAAATCATTAAACAAAATAGACGGAAAAAGAAAACAGGCGGAAATTGTAGCCACTACCAACAGAGTCTCCCTTCTTCCTCTACTCATTTTATATATACTAATTATAAAGCTGAAGAGTTTGTTTGTTTGAACGCGCTAACCTTAGGAACTGGTTCAAATTGGAAAATGTTTTTTGTGTTGGTTAAAGTATTTTTTTGAAGACTGCTTTAGGCTTAAAACATCACACTGTGACTAATATAGGCGAAGAAATTGTGGAAAATGAGGAACAGGCGAGGGAAATTATACATCTTTGAAGACTTTCGTTGTGTGCGCTGCGGAAACAGTAAGATACCAAAAAAATGTATCAAATAATTATGCCCCATTAAAAGATTTTTAAAAAATGTCCGCGGAATCGTATGTCTATTTTTAACATAGACCCGAATCATCATCGTCGTAGATATAAAAAAAAATTGACGACTAAAATAACTATTCTACACGTACAAAGTCGCTGGCACAGCTAGTTTGTTCGATAAAAGTCAATACGAAAATAGTTTTTATTTGTATTTACTTATATCATATTATTGCTCGAAAATAAATTACGAAATCTTTGTTATAGGCGGCCTGGCTTCCCGTGGTGGTTCGTAGCTGGACAAGCCTTCGACTGGAGTACTCAGTGGCGCACTACACTTACGCGAGTCGCGGGTTCGATTACGCGGCCGCTTATAGCTTTAACGACGATGCAATGTGTGGACAGCGCACATATACTACGCACTCAGGTGAAATATACTTTTATTTTCTATACGTGTTAGATAATAAGTCGATGTTTGTAAAATTTTAAACTAGATGTCACCTGTGTTCAGTTGCGCGATACGGTTATATCATATTATATTTTATAATGATAGAGAAGCAAACAACATAGGATTTACTTGATGGTAGGTGATACCCCAGCCTATAGCATCTAAACAAGATGCATTGTCGACCTAATTTGATTTTGGATATTCGGAAATCCACAGACTGAAACCGAAACGCGATTAAACTTCACGGCTTCTTCATCTGTTGGACAGACCGTTTAATATTTAGATTTCCAGACCAAGTCCAACATGCTTCAGCAAACATTAGAAACAAATTTGAGCCGGTGGAGATCGAACCCACGACCCGATGATTGTTAGCCATACATTGGTACTATTAGACCAACGAGCCTGTCGCAACGACAACAATAGCGTTAAAACGACTTCAGACGGTTACGAATTATATTAAAAGGTATTAAAAGTAAGAATCGACTTCATCATATAATATCGTGGACGAAGCCCGCATCACGTCAAGACGAGGGATAATAGGTAATTTATCAGGAAAGATTTAGCACAAAAAACCAACAGTTTAATTTGACATTCGTCACGCGATCCGAACGACGGAAATCTCGAAGTAATGCGAACATGGAATAAGAAAAAGATGTGATGTGTTATTTAACCTAACTTATACACGATTTAATTTAAATGTGTGTTAAAACAGAAATGAGTTAAATCAGAATTCTGTTTATATCCATAAACACAAATACTGTAGTTAAATTATGGAAAATGAGAACCCGGCTTTATGTTTGAGAAAAGTTTCTTCCAGCCATCTATAAAGGTTATATATTATATTTTACATAAATTACAATTTATTTTAACTAACCGACGTTTCTGATGTAATTGAAGATCTGCTACGCTAGCGCATCCGAAACGTCGGACCAAAGTAAAAATAAATTATAAATAAGTAAACAAATATATGTCGCAATTTAAACCTTTAAAAGTGTTTTATTTAAATGTGCTCTACTCGAGTAAACTACAAATAATACTAGTAAATGTCTTAGTTTAAACTTATAATATGTTGTAAATACTTTTAATTTTATTAAAATAAGCTTATGCGTGTTTGAAAACGTAAATATTTTGACGACTAAAGATAAGTCATGTAAGCAAATCTCAAGGCGGTTAGGCTAAGCTTCTACGAGTAGAACAGTCGAGTGAAACTGTCATTAGAGAGCGTCATAACATCAAGTGGCATTCCGAGCACGCTCCCCTCCGTCTTGATGCCGTCTTCGTTTGATTCGTAGCTGAACGAACGCGCCGGATATTGTTCGTGGCGCGTGTCCGAGAATTTTCCACGACCCAGTTTCCCGCCGCCCGCGTCAGCGACGAAAAAACCTTGAACGAGGCCGTAAAGTTCCAATTACATCCGCTATTGTGGTGACTTGTCGCTACATTTTCATATTCGCTGCCCGTTCAATTTTGTTACACTTTTTGCGACGCCGTCTGCGCTGTACGGGTTAATTGAATGAGTTAGCGAGGTGGGTCTTTGAGTTTTAATAGCGGGCCCTTTATGGATTAGTCTAACACATTATTGTAACGCTTTTAGGTAATAAAATCCACTACTTATGTAGACTGAATGGGTTTTTGTTGAATAGAAGAGATTAGACAAGATGGAAGATGAAATACTGCAGCCCTATAGCATTAAAACAAGATGCACTCGGAAATCTACAGACTGAAACCGCAACGCGATTCAACTTTACGATTATCTGTGGGCGGTAGTTCGTAAACCGATCGGAATTACGATATTCCTACCGCTCACTTAAAATTATCAAGATGTTAGAAACATAGTATTAGCCGCCATACATTACACCAATGTGACCGTTAAAAATTTGATAAAATTATATTTATATATATAATATAACTAAACAGATTAAAATACAAACTATATAAGTTACTACAGCCGTGATTAAGAGATGTCCACGGCTGTTGCAGAGTACTCAAAACATTGGGTTGTAGTAAAAAACATACATTATTTATAAATAGTTCGTGTTTTAATCTGTTAAAAAGTGTTTTATGTGTTTTAAATATCTTATGTTAACCGCTGATGCAGCAAAACTGGCTCACTATGAAAACCATACAACTCCCATTCACGTGTATGGTGAAAACAATAGTCCAATATCCCTTGCAAACACCAGCTATAAAACTTTTTAAACCGTCGACCTTTTTAACCGTGTCGTACATCTTTGATAGGTGAAATATCGTCGCGCAACGTGTCGGTAACTGGCAGCCTGAATGAATTCTTCTATCAACAGTGCACCTGGGTCCTGGATTCCAATGTGGAGAGACAGCTCTTCATTGATATATCATCGGAGCAGGTTATATGTTTAAACGTCATCTGTGCTAATCTTATTTAAATTAAAATAATTTTTACGATTAATAAGATATATGTTCTAAAGCAATCTAGTTTTGATGTGTAAATCCTTTGAAGTAAATAATATTTGTCCTAGGGTCCCCAAGTACGTTTACGGTTGTAAATACGAAATGTACATGTTGTGTTTCTAAATAAACTTGTTTCTATTTCTATTCTATAAAGATATGCTTGTTTTAAATCTACACTAATATATAAAGCTGAAGAGTTTGTTTGTTTGTATGTTGGAACGCGATAATCTCAGGAACTACATAAGAAACCTTTTTACATTAATTTAACTACTTTTTAAATATCGAATAATAAAGAGAAAAAAACAGTTTTTATGAAAATTTGAATTTTCTCACTTTTCTTTGTTTCTTCCTAGGACAAATCGTGCAGTTCGTGGAACATAACAATTCACGAATGGTCTGGGAGGGGAGTACACAACGAGGGGGGGCTTGCTGCATCAGCTGGTGATCTACTGTATACTTTTTGCGCTAGACACAAGAACCATACATACACGCTGCCGTGGAGATTGAACACCGTCGTTATCAGGTATAGATACTAGTCTTTCTACCTTCTAATTAAACGCCTACAAGGCTTAACAGATGCGTTAAGCTCAAGAGGTTTTGAGTTCGTTGCTGAGTAAAAATAGGCTCACCACCAATGTCTGCAAGTAAAATAAATCACCGTGGCTACGGCTCCTGCCTACAAACATAGGCCATAGTTAACTGATTTTAAAATCAATTAGAAATATGTTTACTAATGTATTTCCAATTTTAAACCGTCATAAGTTAAATAAACCAGATACTCGTAAACGTATACATAAAAGTGCCTGTTTGCCGTATATTTCCAGGCAGGGAATTTTTTATACGACATTTATAAAAGGCTCGAATATTAAAATTAAAAATGTCCCTTACAAAGAGCAATGGTAGACATGTTTGTATTCTGGGATTTGAGCCTAGGATTTATCGGGCTTAATTAAATGTTAAGCAATTCGTTTAATTATTGAGCCAGGAAGGCTGTTTTACCTAAATTAACTATACCCCCCGCCCCTAATATACTATACTTCTATGCGGGGGCCAGTCTGAAAACCAGCGCTGCTGAGTGTGACAAGCATTCAGCAGCATAGCTGAGACTGGTACCGATTGCCATCTCTTATATATTTATTACTATATTATTATTCTTTTTATGCACACATTTAGTTATAAGTTTGTAAATATATTTTATAGCAATAAACGCTTTTTTTGAATTTGAATTTGAAAAAAATTGAATTTAAAATATGTAATATGTACTATACTTATACTTACTATATACCGTCTTTTCAAACGCTTCTATTATAATAAAATCTTTATTAAGGCAGATTAACCCGCCTGGAAGCTCGACACTAGTTATAAACTACATTATAACTTAAGACGCCCTGAGACATCATGTCAGTAACTCTTAAAATGCAGTTAAACTTTTCGACCACGTTTTAAAATGGAATTCTTTAAGATGCGACGGTCAGTTTATTTTTATAATTAAAGGGATCACTAAATACTGTTTACGCGAGTAGTACACATTTAAATAAAATACTATAACGGTTTAAAATGCGATATATTAGTTAAACTTATTTGAAACGTCGGGCCGAAGTTAAAAACCATCTTCAAAATTCTTTTTAACTTCGGCCCGACGTTTTAAATAAGTGTAACTAATATATCGCATTTTAAACCGATAAAGTGTTTTATTTAAATGTGTACTACTCGCGTAAACAGTATTTAGTGATCCCTTTCGAGCACTGTTCACTTTTTAAATATACATTGAGGCCGCTAGAAGCAGTGTAGCCTAACTGAATTTTTATGACTCGAGTTATTAATATTTTTGTAGTTCAAAAGTGTCAATCTACAAGAACACAGTGACCCAAAATTATTAACATAATTCTTACACAAATAATAGTACAAATTCATTCAAGTTAATTAAACATTTATATTTTCCTACTTATTGAAAATCATGGTTTTTGTTATTAGGCCACTCTGCAGCCTCAATTTGAGGATGTTTGTTTTACTTAACTTAGATTATAACTTCATGACGTATTTGGTTTGTTTCGTAATTAAATAAAAGATTTTAATTCGTTGGCAATATCAAGTATAATATTCACTATAATTACCAAATTTAAATTGTCAATTTAACGTTTTTTTTTTACTTTAGTACATGCGAAATAATAAACACCGCCTTAAGAAATACAGTTACTAATTATTTTACACGAACTTCGCTACAAATAGAACCACCTCTTATCGTCAGACCGACGCTAGTACGTGACCTACATCCGAATTGCTTTAACTTTAACAGTTTAATGTAATGGAAAAATGTTCTAATGTGTAACAATTTTAATTGCTGTACTGCGTGGAGACGAGTTCATCGGCCCTTGTTATAGATCCCACGGCTGGGACTCGGGTTTCCCAATTCGGAAGATAGGCTTATATAGTCTGATCAAATGCGCGTTGGTAGATTAAACGTTTTGTCGAAGATTTAGTTTGAATATACGTCACTTTCCTTACGACATTTTTCTTCTTCGGACTGCATATATTACAATAGTATAATAAAAAACCGTTTCTCCATATGGGACGTGCAGAAAACACATTTATTTCTCCGCTTCACTGATCGCTTTTATTTACCATTATCAACCATATTAATTAAACAAAACATTTTATTCTTTTTGTTAGTAAGTGTAGTAGTAGTAGTAGTAATTCTTTGTTAGTGGTGACTCTGCCCGATTGAATAGTCAATCTGTCTATCTTTCAAGTAATTATGTTGTGTTATTCGTTAATTCGAAAGTAGGGTAGTTGGGTTTTGTGATTTAATTTAATGTAGTAGTGGAAACGGTTAATACTTACCGCCCCTTTTTTATTGTATTCAACTCGTGGTCTCTAGAAATATAGTCTCTCGTCACAAATTTACCGAACATAATTTTGAAGACTCATCTTCATAAACACATATCTATGAGTTAGCAAATTTAAATACTGCATGCATTCGAAGAAGCTACATACCAAGACATCTTAATCAAAAGAAAACCGACAAGACCCTATCGTTAAATTATTTATGAACGCCCCTAGACTTAATACGTTACTCTTCCGAAAGGGCCTCCGAAAGCGCATGCCTTTATAGAGAAACGTATTTTCACGGTACAGGGATCTTTTTGTACATATTAGATAGAATTCAGACACGCAGAGGGGTTCAAAATGACATTTTCATTTGCGAGGCCTGATCAAAGATTTATGTGATATTATTTCAAGCTCGTCCGTATGGTTACTGTAATGGACATTTTAATAATATTTGGTAGCAAACAACATTTTAATGGCTTAATTAATACAGACCTAGATATATTGTCTATCTATACAAATATATGAAGCTAAAGTGTTTGTTTCAATCCGCTAATCTCAGGAACTAATGGTTCCAATTGAAAAATTAGTTGTTGGTTTTATCGAGGAAGGCTATAAAAATCACGTTGTACTAATAGGAGCGAAGAAACAGCGGAAAATGTGGAAATTATTTATCTTTGTGAGTTTTCAATGCGTACGCGGCGAAAACGGTTCAAGATACCCAAAAATTATTAATCAAAGAATGAGTTAAAATCGGACTTCGACTATTTTTATAGACTATAAAACAATCAAGTCCTTTCTTTAAATAGCTTATTTATTAAATACTGTCTGCAGTTTGTGCGAGTAGTCCACATTTAAATAAAACACTAACGATTTAAAACGAAATATATTTGCTTACAAATTATTTTTAGCTATGGCCCAACGCTATCTATATTCGAACGTACTACGAATGTAACAGACATATTAGAACTAGAACGACATACAAAAAACATAGAGAGAATGAATACAATAAAAGATGAAATAATAAAAAAGTCCAATCAACACAACTAACTAGGTCTCTCTATTCATCAATAATAATTAATTATAGCCTATTACTACTTATGACATAATACGCATACATTTTAATTTAATTTTAATTACTGCATATCATATCCACCCGTATAAGTAGACAGTTGATATTGAATATTCTAATGTTAGTATGCAATTAATTCTTGCTTTCACTACTGATTTTAGTCGATATGCCAATATTAGAGACTAGAGTTAACCCACAACTTCGTCACTATGAAACCATTACATTTGGCACCATGCAAATATTGTGTTATTTGGTTTTAATACAAGAGTTAATTTATTTTGTAAACTAGCTGTTACTACCAATTCGTAAACTAATATACAATTTTTGCGGGTAACATTGCTACATTATCTCTTAAATAAGTATTATTAACGGACAAAAGCAACTAACTATAGTAGTAAATATTTAATTTAAACAAAAAAAAATACAGTAATTGAAAGATGTTGTTCCACCACACAAACAATAAATTATTACAGTGGTGTAGACACAAATATTTAATTAAAACTTATAACAGTTTAAAACGTCAAGCCGCCGTTTAATTAAATTAGAAACAAGTTAATCTTTCAATTACCATATAAGATATCAATAAAATTTAGGTAATATTTTGCAAGAAGCTAACCTTAAACATCGGTGGCAACAACAACCGTAATCGTGCAGTGCTTTCGAAATTTTGTACTATGGTAATAACAAAACGATAATTAGCTTTCAAGGATCGTCGTCAGTAAACTCTTAATTCCAATCTAACTACTTTTAATTTCAATCTAATTCTCATTGTTGACACTCAACCCTGAACTGAATGGGCATTCATTTTCCAATTTATCGAACCTATTAGGTACTATTTTTACGTTTAAATGATAACTAATGTTCATTTATTCCAAAGTTCATTTTATCTTACCTTTTCTGTCACCACATAAACTACAAACCTACCCAACTCTATCTGTGGTTTGTTTCCAAATTCTGGGAAAATAGTAAAATAACTCTTCGTGTCTCCAGGGACTAGCTCTTCACGTTATTTGATACTCCGTATCCTACTTATTAATATTTATTGGATAAGAGTTTAATATAAGCTGTATATACAGGATACTTATAATTATTTTTTCCAAAGGCTGGTGGCCCTATCGCGACAGCAGCCGCTATATACCATGCGCTGGAGGTCACAAGTCGTCCGTGCGAATAACAGGCTCGGACCGCCAACTCCTGCGCCGGCGGCATCTGCCTTCGCACCTCAACAGTTAAGAACCGACCCTGTGATAATACTGTTGTTATATCTGTGCTGTTTAATAAATAAACACTTGCCTTACTAAAACCACGTCAATGAGACCCCATGTTTTATCTCTCTCACACTTTTATAATATGATAGAAAAAGATAAAACACATAGTTCGATTAACAAGGATTCAACGGGACAATGGCAATATTGATGTCAAAATAAATATAAGTGCATACGAACTTTTTGTACCACGGTATTGTATAGAGAATAGTTTGTAAATAGCATTGTCAATATTGTACTGATAACTTGCCAAACAAAATGGACGGCGCATTGTGTTGAGGTATCAGTGGTAAACTTTGTAAATGACAAATAGGGATGGAAATATATTTGCAAGTAAACAATTCATATCGAAATAGCTATTTCGCCCTCAATAACATTATCGAGCCTATTTAGAATTGAATAACCTACAGTACTACTACACGATTAAATATTCACAAATCCATCTCGTAACATTGATTTATAAGATTGAGAGCCGGTTTCACCGAGAAATAATGACATTGATTAAAATTGGCTAACGGATAAAATGTCATCTTTGTAAAAGTAAAATGGAACATTGACGGTCCTAACGCGCTGAAAGAACCGGCAACGTGAGGTTTTTGTTATAATTACTTCTTTACTTTGACTTTACTTGTTAATTGGCATCTTAACAAATTTTTAGTGGTTTTATCAGTTAACTAAAACAATGTGACTATTTCTGTGAAAACGTGTTGGTATGTAAATAAAGACAGCAAAAATGTTGAATAATCTGAAGAAATAGGTAATATACAGTAAATCCACCTGTTACACAAAACGCCTCTCGCACATATTTTCTCGCGGTGAGTCAATAACAATTGTTTTAAAATTTCACTAAATGTGCGGTGGTAAACGGTGTTCTGCCAGTGGCTTCTGCTTTAAGGAATGTTCGACCGACGTGAAAAATGTTTCGACCGTACTTAGTATAACAGGAAGTCAATTAGTATATATAGCAAACATATAAATGATCTCAATTGATAAGCTTTAGATGTTTCTCGATGTTCAATTGCTATGTAATATGCAAATGCACTATATATGCACCATTTCTTTCGTTTGTTTATAGCATAAGAAAGCAGGTCATTTACTATGTATACACTATCTAGAAAATACGAAGTCATTTAAAGCTATTCTTCATGATTGGAGTAAGAACTTTTCTTTGCGGAGACTTTTTTACTGACTACCCTCCTCTTATTTGCTGTTGCTTATTTAGTATTATATATCAGATTGTGTCAATGATCGGTTGTATTTTTGGGCAAGTATTTAATTAGATCAATGTACTTATACTGACAGAAAAAAAGTGACGAACAATTTTAACCCCACTTAGTTTACCATAGTTAAATGGTTAATTCAAATCAAAATAAATGGAATAAAATAGATTATAATATTGTCTATTCCCACTCGCACTATTAAACGAATGTGTAGTCACCGTTTTGATTTAGCATTATGTGTGCGAGATGAAAATGTTGCTTTATATCGCACAAACAATTGAAACTACTGAAGTGAACACGAACAATATTGAAATTTTTATGATGCGAAGTACTTTTCATGAAATGAATCGGCTATTTAGATATTATAAAATGTTCTAGATACATGCATAGCTCAAAGTAATGTTGTGAATTCATTAGTGTGCTTTTAAGTAAATGTACGATTGTTTTACATCATTAATTTGTAGACAATTTTGTAAATCGAACGTGTAGATTGTAAATAGCACAGTAGTTTAATGCTAATGGATCAATGACTGCGAAGTGAGTGAATTTGATTCTGTGAAATGATTGTTATACGAAATAGACGAAGTGATCGAATTGTCTGTGTATCATTTACTTCTTCCTTCTTCTATAATTTTCGTCTTAGCTAGTTATTACGCATACTATTGACTATAAAATGTACAGACTAACCTCGAGAGCGATAAAGACGAGTAAATTCGACTTACTTGAGCGCGGAGACCACGTCAACCACAGATTGACACCTACATTTTGCGTGGCGGCGCGCAGTCAACTAGAAATTGACCGCTAAATTTTGTTGGCGGCGCACAGTCAACGAGTAGTTGACTGTCGCCCAGTTCTCGTTTTTTCATTAAATTTTTCACCATATACATTCCAGTCGAGTATCCAAACCATAGAAAAAAGTTATGTAACATAAATATTAAATAACGGTCCTCAGTCCAGTGCACGTGTTGTCAGTGTTAAGTGTTGTGATTTTTGTTTGATTGAATTTATGTGATTAAAAGGTACAAGTGTGCATTTATGTCTTTGTGCCTTATTGAAATGGCCACGTGTAAATGTACTATAAGGTAGGCTAATTGTAATTTTTATATTTTTTAGTTTGTAGAACAATAAAATCGGAAAATTACAAGATGGTTTTAAAACGCGCTATCTCAAGTTTAGCACGGCATAACTATGGACCAGAGTCCTAATCTAAAGATCTATTGGTAACATTGAGAAGATCGTTTAATCGTAAACATACAAAATATAAAATTTGACAATCTTTTATAACAAACTTGAGTTACAAGGATCGATAGCGTAAAGCTGGGCGCGCCGGCGGCGCGCAAAAGCCGTTACAAACAGTGGGGCACAGACGAGTGGCCTAGTTTTTGCATAGTATTTGAACCTAACAACCTAACTGGGCCTATGCCCAGTACTATCTACCGTACGCCTATGCATAGGCCGATTTTTTTGCCACGGACAAGCGAGCGGATCACGTAGTCGGCTCAGACGAGCAAGTATATTTCCATTTTTTGTCTCTTTCCATTTCAAAAATATCAATTTTCTATCCTCTTGGACAAACAACCGTCTTTAAGAAAAAAAAATTATTATTTAATTAAATATGACAAATGCAAAAGCATAGATTGTGTCTTGATTAAAATAAGGGAGCAAATTAAAATAGTGAAATTGAACTTTGAAAAATTACACGTACATTTCGAATAGAGTATAAAACTAAAATTCCATAAATCAATATTTATTAATATTCACCATATCTAAAGAATCATTCACTAATATAATTCAAAACAAAATACAACATTAATAACAAAATATGAAAATGCGCCCGATACCAATTTAATCTCTGCATCTGCATTAATTTTAGGAAATAGGTCAGGGATTTCATTTCCTTCATTACTTACGATATATTGCAACCACTACACGGAAGGACGGAAAATCAATATTTTACCACCTTTATTAATGTGTGACTTGGAAAGTATTATTCTAGCACTCGTGTTTTTTATGGGTTATTTCAACTTCTTTATTGATAACTGAAACGTGATGTTTTTTGATCTCTTAGTAACGGTATAGCGAATAAAAAGTATTAACACATCGATAATTCTATGTATGAGTTACGTTTAAATAATACATTTATGAAAGTTCTCTATATGTACTTCAGGCGCCCATCGTGAACATATTTTTGCGCCCACTTTACTAATCAAATTTGTTAATAGACTAGTAGTTGAATTAAGAATCGATTATATTGATAAAAATTACGACTCGGACAGGACTTGAACCGGGATCGTTGAATGCTGTTGCTCTAACCAATTGACCTACCGAGTCCTACACGTCATCGTCGAATTTTTCAACTCTCGCGCGATAAATCATTGATCAGACTTCCGTTGCCTGACCTATCGAATTATTTTCTAGATATTCAAATCCTGTCACGTTTAAAGTTCTGTCTAAAACCACTTACAAAAGAAAGGAGGGTATTAAAAAATAATCGAGAAGCATTTTCAATTAAATTCCAAGTCACGCTACAGTTCTCCCAAAATCAATACTTTGAAGCTGTAATAAATCCCCTTGTAGAAAGCTCGTGTCAGTCATATTGTATTTCATCTTTAATGGTTGGATGGTTCAATTTAGATAAGATAATGAAGACAAAGTTATCTGATAATCTCAACCGCCTATTGATGTAAGGCAACACGGCAAATTAACAGAATCCATACATATAAAATGGTTTGTAGTGGAGGACTGATGGATCAAAGCACATCTTAATATAAATTGAGTCTTGGTGGGTTTTTGAATGAAATGGATTTTTGAAATTCAAAATCTGTTGGTTCTATTAAGGTTGGTGAAGCAAAGTAATTAAACGTTTTCTTGTTCCAATCAGATTTAAATTTCGAATAAATAATTATAAAATGCATTATCGTATTGTTAATTCCAATTGACTCAATGACTTTAAACAAAAACAAAAACATGTTGTAATTACGAGCCTTCTCAGCAACGCGGGTAACACCGCAGGGCACTTATAGTATTTATACTAGAAATCTAAGACTGCAGTGAAGCTTTATCTGTTCTATCACGCCTTAAACTTTCCATTAGGGGCGTTCGCCTTTGCTTTTCTCGCAACTTCCGCGATCCTTTGAGGTTTCTTAAAAGAACTCTTTTACGATTGATATAAAAAGAAACGTAGCACCTATTTCAATCGATACTTGAGCGGGGAAGGGCGAAATTAAATGCCCTTTACGTTATCTGAGAGTTTTTTTAAGATCGAGGAAAATATTACGTTTTAATCTCAAATATTGGAAAATTTGGGGGCACTAAGGGTTTATAAACAAGAACCGTACTTTTACGATTTCTTTTGTAACACGCTTTTTACCCTCTGATTTTTACCTATATATAATATATATCATATAACAAAAGTATAGCTAACTATCTAGAACGTAGAGTGCGCATTTCTTGATTCGTTTCACGGTTGTATATACAGGTGTGACTATTGTGCCTTGCTAAACCAAAAATAAGTTTTCTGAGATTCGAACCCGGGATCTTCCCGCGATATTTGGTACATAACATATTTACTAAGTTATAACAAAGTACCTAACAGAGTATATCCACTATTATATATTTTTTCACGTTACTACATAAAATGTTAAGTGTGGGTCGACACAAAAATTCGACGTTTGACTGCTTCTAGGTAAAACAAAAGCAATGTACAACTCTATTCGTAACTATAATAAGATTTATAAATCTTCATATTCTTAAATCTTTATATATGAAGGGATACAATATAAATTATTATTACACTTATTTTGTCTATGTATAATA